ATATTAAAAATGCACCTGGAAATCTAATGAATAGCCTGCTGAATGTCACCCCCACACACACTAGATTCTACTTGCAGAAGGGAAATTAAAGCTTCAAGACAAAGGATACCAGTGCTTGTGTGCTGGAGAGCATGCCCATGTCCCTTCTTGGCCATGAACTTTCTACTTCCTCATAAATTCTAAGGGTCCCCACAAGACTTGCAACCAGGGGAGCAGCAGGCAGCAGCAGCTAATCCCAGGCTTACCCCAATCTTGTCTCCAAGTCCGTCTTTTTCTCTGACTCTCTGGTCAGCTAACAGCAGCCCTGCCTTGGCTCAGTTTTTTCCTGTGTCTAGGGAGACAAAGTGGAGGACCTCATAGGGTCTCTCCTGTTGCTTCTCCTCCCTAAGTCAGTCCTTTGTTTCACTGCCCCCAGGTTTAAAATAAACATCCTCACAAAATCACCTGGACTGGTGATGTGAAATCTTTCCTACACGAAGTCAGGAACCCACACAGCACAGACCAGCCTGAGGCAGACCCACTCCTGGTCAGTCCCGTCCACTGACAATACAACACAGTGTTTCTGAATTTGTCAAGTTCAAAGCAGTTCTGCACTATGTGTAATTTCAAACTGTTTCCATTGGTCTTACTTGAATAGATGCAAGGTTTCCTTCACATTAAAAATAAATGTCAGTGTTCAACTCCCTCACTTTCTATTTGTTATGGCTTACAACTGTCCTCAGCCATCAAAGACAGAGCTGCCTTTAAATATTGATTAAAATGAATCAAAGCCAATCATTATATTGAAAATCATTCTGAATTGTGCTTTAATAATGTTTTCTGAATTTAGCTTTCAATTATTATGGGCTTTGTTGCATAATCTTGAGCCTATCCTGGGTTAATTGGTAAATAAAGGAAATAAATTAGACATATGAAGAAATTTATCATTTATAAAGTATATTAGCTTATCAATTATATTTTATAAAATGCACCAGCTTATTAATTATTAAACATTCATAAATACATGAATGACACAAAATTAACATGGTTATCATAACTTAGCAATATAATTTATACATTCTTATCATAGAGTTGTTGTAAAGATGCCACCAGTGATTTTTGTGTCAAGAGATCTGGATTTCCCTCTATACCTTTATGACCTCAAGCACATTTGTTATTCCCAAGGCATGAATACCTCATGCGTACCATGCCTACTCACAAATTTCCAGTCAAGATCAAATGAGATAACAGAAAATAATAACAGTTTAAATTGTTGAGAGGTAAATATTCATCAAGAACTCTCTGCACACTGTTTTCATTTAATCATCAAAAGTATCCTATGAGGTTGATTATCACTCCCAATTTCATAAATAAAGAAACCTGTCACATAGAGCTTACATAATTTGCCAGAGGGCACACAGATATTAAGAGACAGAATTAGAATTTGATATAACTAGTCTGATCCCAGAGCCAAAGTTCTTAGCCAAAATACTAAACTGCTAAGGATCGGCTCCATTCCTTCAGATTCTGTAAAACTTGGCTATATGACATTAACTAGCTATTTCACAATTTTAAGATCTAAAAGTCCAAAAATAGAAACTTTTCCTTAGATTTTCTAGACACATTAATCAACAAATCTAATCAAAACACTCCATAAAAATTCAAATGAAACTTAGACAAAAACATGTTAGAGAATTGATTTAGTAAACATATTAGCTGAGTGACTTGCCAATTACCTGTCTCCTATGCAGTAACTAGTTATACCCTTCAGTATGCTTTATTCATACATAAACAGAGAACATTGAGTCTTAAATAAATCCATTAATAGTTCAATTAGATTTATTATTATTTAATGATTCACTTCAAATCAAAAACCGAAACCTGAGGGGTTAATCTTAGATATTAAAGAAATAAAACCAGAAAAACCTATTTTTCTTCTAATTCAGAAAATGGTACCATAATCCATTCATTTAGCCCATTTTCTTTAATATTCCAAGTTTCCACTGTACTGTGAAATTTGGAGAACAACACTGCCATCCAGGGGATAAAAGTTTGAAAGTGCAGAGGAGAGAATAACAACAACAACAAAAAAATACAGAAGTTCTCAGGTGGGATTGAAGAACTTAGTTGTGTCACAATCTGTTGGGAGGTGAGTTATTAATAATAGTAGTCTAAATACTAAAAATTGAAAGTATGCTTTAAAAATACAGGATTTCCAATAACTTTTACTGACTCATTCAAGTAAGAAAAAGATGTAGGATTAAAATCACCTTGTTAGTTGTGTTGATGGACAAGTTTCCACCAAACTTTTCTTATTACAAACACTTGTGTAATGAGTGTTCTTGTACGTGCATCATGAATGTGTACCAATATAACTGTAGTATATTTTTCTGGAAGTAGAATTTCTAGCTCGATGGTAAGGGTATTTATTTAACAGCTGTACTAAGGTAGTATTAACACAAAATAAAATACACATAATTAAAGGGTATGTGTTTGACATAGGTATACAATGTGATATCATGACCAAAATTGAGAAAATGAACATATCATGACTTTCAAAAGTTTCTTCCTGACCTTCTGTGATTTGACCCTCCCAGCATGCATCCTTCCTCCCCTAGGTCTTTAGGCAAAGCCACTGGTCGATTTTTTGTCTCTACACATTAGTTTGCATTTCCTAGAATTTTACATAATTAGAATAATACAGTATGCAGTTCTTTTGTCTGAATTCTATCAGCATAATTATTTAAAAATGTGTCCATACTGTAGTGTGTATTCTTTTTTATTCTGAGTGATGGTCCAGTTTGTGTGTGTACATGTGTGTCTGTCTCTCTGTGTATATGTCACAGTTTATTCCTTTGTCAGTTGAATAGGAATTGTAATTGTTTTTATTTTTTGGCTATTACAAATGAAGCCTCTCTGGACATTCATGCACAAGTCTTCATATGGATATGGGTATTCATTTCTTTATTGATCTGGGAGGGGAATGTCCAGATCATAGGGCTAATGGACACACAGTTTGAGAAATTACCGAACTTCTTCCAAAGCGATTCTACCCTTTTATATTTCCACAAATGATGCATGAGAAGTGCCATTGCTCCACAGCTTCATCAGCACTTGGTATAATCAGACTTTTAAATTTAAATTATTCGGATAGATTTGTAATGATGTGATATTGTGGTTCTAATTTACATTTTTTTCTGATGGTGATGAACATATTTTCATGTGTTTATTTGCTATTCACCTATCTTTTGGTGAAGTATCTGTTCAGATCTTTTGCCCATGTTTTTATTGGGCTATTCATTTACTTATTGAATTTGGAGAGTTCTCTATGTATTCTCGACACAAAGTCCTTTATAAAATGTGTTGTTTGCAAAATTTTCTCCTTCATTTGCAGCTTCTCTTTTTACTCTCCTAACAATGTATTTTGAAAAGTAGAAGTTTTAACCTTTATTCAATCTAATTTATCAATGTATTTTATAGAGATTGTTTTTGTTCTGATATCCAAGAATGTTTCCCTAACCATAGGTCACAAAATTTTTGTCCTATGTTTTATTCTATAAGCTTTTACTTCTAGATTTTACATTTAGGTGTTTGAACCATTTTAAGTTGTTTTACTATTTAGTGTGCAATATGGGTCAACATTACTCTTTCATACGGATATCCAATTGTTTCAGCACAATGTTTGAAAAGACCATATTTCCCATTGAACGGTCTTTGCAACTGTTGAAAATCAGTTGTCCATATATGTGTAAGTCTACTTCGCAATTCTATTCTGTTTGCTAAACATCCATAAGTTTAGCAGTAATCTAGAAATGTATAACACAATTCTTAAAAGTGCAAAATGATAGAAATGGCAGTCATCAGGCATGTTAGATAAGGAAAAGATTACTTTTGAGATAACTTTTTCTCAAAGAAAATGGGTGTTATGGATTGAATTGCGTCCTGCCAAAATCCGTACATGGAGGTTCTGACCCCCAATGTCTTGGTATTTGGAAATAAAACATTCAGGGAGGTAACTGAGATGAAATGAGATCATAACGGTGGACCCCTAATCCAATAGGAAGAGGAAGAATACACCAGAGAAGTGTCTCTCCCGGGTGCACAATGGCAAGGCCACATGAGGATACAGCAAGAAGGCTGACACTGCAAGTCAGGAAGAGAACACTCACCAGAAACATCCCTGATGGCACCTTGGTATTGGTTTCCAGCCTTTAGAACTGTTAGAAAATTAATTCCTGTTCCTTAACACCCAGTCTGTGGTATTTTGTTATGACAGCCTGAGTAGAAAAGTACAGTGGGATTTGAGCCCTGGGGCAGGTGTCCTGGGCCCCAGTGAGGGTCTGTATTAACTCCATCTGTATTCCTGAGATGAGGGAGTAGCAGATTAAGTCCCACATTAAAAACATATGACAGGTAAATAAACACCGTGGAAGAAGCGCTTTCCTACTTTTTGAATGAGGGGTTCTGTCTGCATTTTCATTTTGCTCTGGGGCTGGCAGAATACAACCAGCCCTGGAGTCCTGAAGCAGTGATTGGCTCCACCTGGGCACTCTGGGCAAGACACTTGGCTTCTTGTAAGGCCACATCTGTAAAATATGAATGATAGTTCCTATCTCATTCGATTTCTGTGACTATTTTGGGCAATAATTCATGCAAAGCATGTGCCCCAGCACTTGATTCATGTGAATAGTAGTACAGGTGTTACATATTAATCAATATGCTATCTAATTAGGACTCACTCCCTGTGACTGCAAGCTTAACACTTCAAAATATCCATTTCCACAGGAGGAAACAAATGCGCATCCTGGTTTTCCTTTAAACGTTTATTATCTAATTAATCTTTATTACAGTGTACAGGAAAATATGTTCACGCCTGGGTTATAATGGTAGGCTCAAACAAAAAAATGTTGGAACCGTAGAAATCTTCCCTTACGCTAAATGCTTGGAGCAAAACCTGGTGATTCAAGTTCTGCTTTTACAAAAGCTATCTCCACTGGGACATAAAAACCAAGGTTCTTACAATGCAGGCTCAGTGTACAGTGAATATATTCAATAAAAAAGAAAGAGTCGGCATCCGGCAAAACTACACGTGGCAACAAACTGCTCGCAGGGCGACCCGAAGACCATCCGCCATGTCTCGTCTCCATAGGAACGAGTAATTCCGGCGCGTAGCACTCTGCTCCGGAAGTTGTTGTCCTACAGTTTCGTTCTTCAGAGTCTGTATCTCTTTTATTCCTGCATAGGTCAGCTCACAAGATTGATGAGTTTTGGGCTGAAGAGGCCGCCGTTGAGGGGGCGTGGCGACGCAGACGCCTTACGGGAAACGCAGTTCACGTGCCAGCAGCAGCGGATCTTCTTCCTACATCTGCCATGGCTCAACCCGGGACTCTGAACCTCAATAACGAGGTGAGCACAGAGATCTTGGAAACTGTGGGGCTGACGTTTAAGGCTCTCGGAAGCGGTCTTCTGCGTCAGTCAAGGGCGCGTGGTCGGGCAGGGGTGAGGATAGGGAGTGTGGCTGACGGAGCTTGTTGCTGGCCCCAGGCTGGTGTTCCAGAACGCGGAGCCTAGCAGTGGGAACACCCCTTCACAGTTTCTAGGTGACTGAAGCAAGAGACTTGCCCCTGGATGTCAGACTTCAGGAATTTGTATCTGTGGGACTTTGGGGAGTTTATTTCATATGTATATTCTGTGTCCTCGTCTGTTAAACGAAACTCGTGATGATATAGTAGTGCTTACCACACAAGGTTGTGAGACTTAACTGGCAAGTGTGAAGTGTTCGCACGGTGCCTAGCAGTTAATAAACTCTCTATAATACCTGCCTTAGGTAGCTTCTGCTACGAAATTTCTAATCTGGAAAGAGCTTGTATACTTTACGCCTCCAGTATCATATTTTCTTTTATCTACTGCCCTATTTCTTTGCTTCTATATACAGCTAATCTTTGAGTTGCTTGTACTTGCTGTCCTCAATTCTCTCGTTCTCTTAAATCCAGTCTTACTAAACATTTGCCCTCATCACCTCCACCATAACATGCTGATGCCACCAGGCTACCATTTCTGCCGCCATTCTATTTCCACTTTCTGCTTCTATTCAAGGAAGTCGTAAGTCATCTGAAGGCTGAAATTAAGCTGGAAAAGCAAGGATCAAATGAGGATCTCACAGCTACAGCGAAGGAAGTTCTTTATCCCCTTTATTCAGTGAATATGTGTGTCTACTATAAGCAACTCACTGTTTATATTACACACTTGTGTAAGACATGCTTTCTATTTTCAAGCAACCTGTACTTGGGTAAGTAAAGCAAGCAGCACTCACCTATGATGCAGAATAATGCCCAGAAAACTAGTAATGCAGAAAAGTTTCCAAGGAAGGCAAAATGAAGTTAATGCGGTATTTGTTCTGCGTGTTTAAAGGTATTATGCAGGAATTTCAGCCAGTGATTCATTGGAGGGGAAGAAGGCACCCCAGGCAGGTGTACCGGTATGAGCATGGAAGTAGGAAACCATGCGGTTAGTATAGGAATAGATAGCTCTCCATTGATGAGGACTTGTGCGGTGAAGAAGGAAATGGAAATGAAATGTATTACTTCCTGCTGGGTTAATAAGTCTGGATTCCACTTGGCAGTGGAAAACAGGATTTATTGGAGAGGGAAATTCCAAAGGTGTTTCCCATATATTCATAAACATAATGTCAAGATTGTGCTAGTTCCAGGAAAGATTTTGGCTTTTTTGCATTAGGTTACCTGTGGGGTATAAAAGACCTTAATTGGAGTGGTGTCCCTGGGAGTTCACTGGAAATATTAGTGAGTTCCTGTTCAATGTTGTAAGTACTCTGAAAGTAGTAATGACATGTACCACTCCTAATTTAATCACTTTTACCATTTAGCTCATTTCCAGGCCTGTTCAAAACAGTTAAAACTTGACCTTTACGAAGTCTTCAGTAATTCACCTCAGTTTGGGCTAAGTGTCTGTCTGTTCTTTATGCAGCCAGAATGCTTTCTACTCTGAAGATACTTGTTTGCCTGTTTCTCTCTTTTTGTGTGTATGTCTTTCAGCTAAAATGTGTGTGCTCTATAAATGTTTGCCGGATGACTAAATGAACTTATCACATTAGGAAGTCTACATGTCCCATGCTAAAGTAAATCTTTTATGTTCTAGTATGAAGGTGGGAAAGAAAATGGAATGATGGAAGGAATTATAATTTTAAATTAATGAGAGAAAAACTGCAAAGGGAAGACCAAATGCAAATTTGTCTACATAAAATTTGGAAAAATTCCAAAAGAAAAAAAAGGAAAGTCAATTAGGAAAAGAACTAAGGGAAATATGACAGATAAATGCCTAATGTCATTACTATAAAATAACTCATGGAAATTTAAGAGAAACCATCTTATAGAAAATTGGTAAAAGAAATTAACAACTTCTGCGAGGAAGAAATGTATCTGAAAAAGAGTTCAAATTCACTGTTATCTTTGAGATCTTTTTTATTATTTTTCATCACCACCCCTGTCCTAGTCCAAGTTGTATTTCCCTCTAGCGCTTCTGTTCTCAACTCCCAGATGCTTAAACGCGGTTCTTCTCACTCTCCACAGTGCAGCTGGAGTGCTCTCTTCAGAACACACATCTAATCCTGTGACTGACTACCTGGCCTAAAACCTGTTAGGTGGCTTTCCATTGCTTTTTTAGCAAAGACCTACCTAAATAAGGCCAATCTCCGCACCTTCTGTTACACCACGCCCCAGCCCTGCACCCCACCTCTGTGTCTATACTACAACTACGCTGGCTGCCTTCCATTATCATAGCACAGCATGCCACAGATCCTTTGCATGTGCTCTTCCTTTTAACTTTCTCTCATTAGTACATTTCATACTTCTACTTGTCACTTTCTTAGGGAAAGCATTCTTGACTTTCATTTACCTTTTTTGTAAGCTCTTGTAGGACCATTTACTTCTTTTTAGTGCTTCTAACAGTTGCTTAGTATGTGTATGAGAATGTGTGAGATTTCTTACTTTCTCTACCTGACTGTAAATTTTTGCTCAGTGCCTGTCGGTTGAATGAGTAGTTTGAGGAATCATTTTAAAAATAAGTTAGCTCTCCTTAACTGAGACCCAGGAATGTATTTCAGGGATCTTAAAATTGCCTGGAATTGTTAATTAGTCACACACAACACGTATGTGTCTTTGTGGGGAAAAGAGTCCTTAGGTGTTCATCAGATTCCCAAACATCTGTAAATCTCTGGTATTATCTTTGGGATATTGGTGCTCATATCTGTGATTTATTTGATTGGATTACTTGTAAATTGTTATAATAGTTTTTCTTTTAAAAATTCCAGTATATTTAATTATCCAAAATATCTTTTGTGAAAATAAAAGCTTGCCTCCAGAGGCACCTGTTCTGCTATCTTTTAATGTCTTCTACCCTTAATAATTCCATTCTTTTAAAAATGTCCAGGTATGAATTTAGGCTTACAGTTTTGGAATACTTCCTGACTCTGGGTCCTTAAAATGTGTTAATTCTGAAGTAATGTAAAATTTAACCTTTTTAAAAAAAGTCATCACTTTTCATCTTATTATTTAATCCATGCTTTATCTTCACTAGTATTGTACTTTGAAAGGAGAATATTTAACTGGCTTATTATAGCAACTTCCCTAACCTCTAGCATAGTGCCTTGTCTACAGGTAGTAAAAATAAATACTTATTGGACAGATGACAATAGGGATAGCTCAACTTGAGGCTAATATTCAAAGGAGGTGGGGACTCTCCTACATGTAGATTTTTTTCCTCCTTTTTCATTAAAACTATAGAAAGGATGCAAAATTGAAAACAAGTTATGGTGTTTTTTTAGTGAGCAATGAATTTGCAAAACCAGAGTTGATTTTGTTCCAGTCATCTATTTCTTTAGGTAGCAATGATATATAAAATCAGTATTAGGAGATGAAACAATCTGAAAAAGTACTTTAATTCCATACAGGGGCCAAGGGCTTTCTATAAAAATGACATTTTTCTTGATAGCAGATTACCAATAAGCCCATTAGGAAGGAGGAGAATTGGGATAACTGTAATAGCATAATCAGTAAAATATTTTTTAAAAGAAAGTTGCTTTTAATTTTCTATAAGGTAGTAAATGTAGAAGCAAAATGATTTGCCTCCACATATTGTAAAAAATAAGAACATCAAAAACTATATTTGTGCGTTTGAAGTTGCAAAGCTCCTATTTCATAATTGAGTGTGTAATTCTTTTTAATGATTTTTACTGAAATAGTAAATCAGGGTTCATCCATAAGAAGAGAAACTTTTGTTTTGTTTTGCTTTTTGTTAAACTATTCTGGGAAGTTTTGCTAGGTGGCAGCATATTCTCAGTAATGATTAAGTTGTAGATAATTACCAAGCACTGTAGAATTTTTAAATTTTTGTTCATTGGAAGTAAAAAAGAAGTATAATTAAACAATAATGGCCAAATAAGTCCTCTGTATAAAATCATAATTTTGTTAACTATGAAATAGTTCTGATACATGGAAAATGATCTAACAAATATCCTTGTAATTTATTTCCTGTATTTGTGAAATGTCAGTATTTTGCCATATTAGACTGCTTAATTCTACCCACTGTATTTTCAACCTCAGAAGTAATTATTACTCTTTTAGTGTGTTATTTTCTCATCCATAGTTTTCATAATTTTAGTAACATACATACCCATACATATACCCAGTGTTGTATATTTTTAAACTTTGCGTGTCATATCCTATGCACAATTAGTCAAAGTCACTTTTTTTACCATATTTAAGGTTTATCCATGATAATACATGCAGATCTACCGCATTGGTTTAAAATACTACTTTGTGTATACTTTGTATAATATTTTATCTCCTATGCAACATTTTGTAAGAACGCTGCAATGAATAGTCTTGTGCCTAACCTTTTGCTATTGTTGGGGGCCGGGGGGCGTGGCGTGTCTTCTACCTGGATTTCTAGAAGTAGGATTTTATTAGGTATTGGTGAAGTTTCCTCTGGAAGGAATATAACAATTTGCATTCCTACCAGTAATGCATGAGAGTGGCTATTTCCTCACAGCCTCACCAATAGAATGGGTTGTCATAGATTTTTATTTTTGCCAAGCTGATAGATGAGTAATGAATAATCAGGAGTTTTAATGTATTATAAGAAACACAGATATACTCAGATTTTTCTTAGCACTGTAAGTTCCCCTATAACAGTACTAGCTCTTGGAGTAATTGTTTTCTTCTAACCATGAGTTTTTGTTACAGGTTAATTCAAATGAATGGCAAAGTCAGTGCTTTACCAAGAGAAGCTGGCTAATTGACTAGGTAGCAGAGTCAGCTAAGAGTCAACTCACCCATTCCCCAAATCCCATCTAAATTGCCAATTATGAGAATGATCACAAGGATGTAAAG